GGAGAAATCTTGCATGGAATTTTGGAATCGAGATTATAGAGGGAGAAAGTCAGCTTTTGATTGTGGATATGAACTATTAAAAAATTTTTATAAATGGAATATTTCCTATTTTTAGATTTATATTATTTCTATATTTTATGTATTATTAATTACATTTATCACCTGAATTTTGAAATTATTTTTAAAGATTGTTATTTATGAAATTGTATTCTTATAATCTAGTGACCGTATTTCCTTTAGAAAAAGTGCGATTTTGATATTTGTACTGCTTTCTTTTAGAAAAATTCAAAAATAATACCCTCTTTATATCTACCCCTGAAGGCTTAAGGCGGGGGTGGGGGGAGGGGTTTCCAAGATGGTCTAAGGAGCATTCAATTGAGATTTTAGAAGATTTTGATGGGCTATTTTTAAGTGACAACTTCTATGAATTTTTATAGATTTTCATTTTGAAACTTTTGTAGAATTCAAAGACTTTTGAAGACTAACATTTGAAGTAGAAATCACGTGAATCTAGTGCAATAATGTGAAATAAATAATAAACAAAATTATTATTATTATTATTATTATTATTATTATTATTATTATTATTTAATATTATTATTATATATTTGCCATATAAATTTTATAATTAAATAAAAATAAATATTTTTCACAAAAAAATGAATGAAAAAAAAAGTTATGAGAATTCAATTTTTCCCAAAACATTGTGATTAATGAGAGACAAATTTTGAAATTTTATATAATTACTTTTTACTTAAAAGTTAGTACCCCATCGATTGAATATTTCAAGATTTTTAGAAACTTTTTAAAAGTCTATAAAATTTTCAATTATATACACTAGTACTTTCAAAGAGTTTCAAAAATTCTACATTAAGAGGGTGTTTGGTAGGAATTTTTATGTGAAAATGCATTTTTGAATAGTAAATTGATGGGAAACTTATGAGAATTCAATTTTTCCCAAAACATTGTGATTAATGAGAGACAAATTTTGAAATTTTATATAATTACTTTTTACTTAAAAAGTTTGTACCCCATAGATTGAATACTTTAAGATTTTTAGAGACTTTTTAAAAGTCTATAAAATTTTCAATTATATACACTAGTACTTTCAAAGAGTTTCAAAAATTCTACATTAATATTTCTAAACTTTTTAAATCTCAAAAAGTCATTAAAGATTTCAATTGAATATTCCCCATTAAGATTCATAAAAATCAACTTTCCAAATTCCAATCAACTCGCCTAGGCAGCTGGGGAGAGTTAATTGTATGCTAAGTCTTACATCTTTTGAACATTTTTAAATTTTATTCCTCAACTTTTGAGTTTATCCACTTCAATCCTCTAACTTTGGATTATGTTCAAATTAGTCTTTCATGTTTTTGATTCATTTAATGACTGACTGAATTTTTCTAAAGTTCAATTTTAATCCTTATACTTTGCAAAATTCTTCTATTAACTTTCAAAACTCTTCCAATCAAATCCTTGCATTTCGTCTTC